CTTGTAACCACTTCTCATTGATCAATCTTTTGTGAGGAAATTACTAACAAGCATACTGCGAGCCTTAATCAGGGCACCACAGCTGCATGGGGTGTCGGGTTCTCTAAGTGTCACGGAGTCCCCTGCTTCAGGTTCTCCAGGCTGAGCAGGTGAAAGGTGGGGGGGGGTTCTCTTTCTCTGTTCTTGATGGCCATGTGCAGAATTCTGAGAAGGCACAAGATAAACTGTTCCATGTGATACCAAGAGACAGGCTCTAGTGCTTTGGAATCCTCAGAAGCAAGTGGGGGTATGAATTATATATAAATTAAGCTACCATACTGATATGGCCAAGAAAGTATTGGCCAGATGGCGCTGAGTACAAATGACAGTGACATACATCCTGTCATTGTTTTACTATTTATGAGTCAGCTGGTGGTAGAACAGGCTATCTCTTAGTGACAGAAGGAAGCTGGGTCTTGCTCTCTCATTTTTATTTGACACTGGCCTTGATCTCCCTTACACAATCCATTGTAATGGAGCCACCAAGACAGGACGGATTGCAATCCTACTGAAAGGCTTGTGACTGTTGGTGATACAAGGGACAATTCTACTTCGTTTCTTCTTTTTCTTTAGAAAAATAATTCTGATGTGCATTGCTTCCTGCTCAGGATCCTCTAACAAGTTTTAAAGAGATTCAGCCAGATTTCAGGCTAGATCAAATGTGTGTGGTCCGTCTGTCCTGTGCTTGGAGCCCTCCCTTGGAGGTTCTGGAGGAAAAGCAAGTGGTTTCAACAGCCACCTTGCAGTCCCGTTCTGCCCAGGCCTTTGTTTGTTTGGAGGGACCTTTCTTTTCTGGAATGTCTAGAGGCCAAGAGGGAAGTAGACAGTTACCAAGTATTTGTGGGAAGTGTATCCCAGTGAGTGCTCAGTAATAGACTGTGGTCAACTGTGATAGTTTCCAAGTGGTGACTGCATGTAATTAGACCACGAAGGCAAAATCATTTTTTAACCAATTTATAGGGCAACCAGTAATGGTGCAGAGGACACAGAGTTTGGACTACATCAGGGGCCTGTGGCTTTCAGTGCTCTTGGTACCAACCTAGGGACTCTAGGAAAGTTCATTCATCACCCTAGGTCTCAAGGTTCTGGCTTGCTAAGTTGCTGGGGGAAGAGGGGGAGACATGGCTGACTAGCTCATTCTCACAACACACACAATCTACGCATTACGGAGCCTTTAACAGATTTTGCCTCCAATAAACCCTTAGATGGGAAGAACAGGGCACTAGTTTACAAACAAGAAATGTGAGTTCTTGGGCTCAAGACCAAAAGGGCTACCACAGGGAACTCAACCCAACTGCAGGCTTGAGTTTTCGAGGCACCATTGTTTTGAGTGTCAATGGTGATCTGCTTTTTAGGTACCACTGCATTCAGTATCTGTGGATTCTGGTTTTTAGATTTCCAGATAATGACTACTTGAAGAATGTCGGATTTATTACCCGCCCCATATCTTTTTCCTGTTTCAGAATCACAATAGCTATTTTCTCCGATTCTGGGTCTTAGACTATGGTCTGAAACCAGCATCAGTAGTGGAGGAATTAGAAATGTAACTCTCAGGCCTGACCTCACATCAAAGTTAGCAATGAGTGGGGTGAGCCTAGGAAACTCCCCAGGCACACCTGGTACCTCCAAGGACTGTTGCCCTGACCTGATGTGTGTGCTCCCTAGCAACGGGCTGGTACTTGCCAGTTCTTCACTTAGTGCACTAAGAAAAATGCACAGTGCCAACTTCCTTTGAGTCCCAGTACCAACCAGACCCAAGCATTCTGTACATGCATTTTTGCAATGCTCAAACCTGTAGCTCTGAATCCTTCATAAAAACTACAAAATTCTACACTTATGTTTGTCTTGGTTACTTCCTTCAAGTCTACTTGAAATCTGAAAATATCTTAGACACCAATTCTGTAGTCCAACATATAAGAATACTTGAGATAAGCTGAATCCAACTGAAATAGAGATTTAAAATAGAGTGAATTTATTATTTATTCAAAGTGGTTAAGGCTGTAAATTCCTTAGAAGGTACTTTCCCATCTATTGCATCCAGTCTCACTTACTCCAGAAATACCAGTAATTTCAGGAAATAATTTGTGTTTACTTGAGACTAATTTACAATCAAGATCCTTGTCTTCTCCAATGAAGAAAGAATACTTTGATAATAAAACTGATATATATATATATATATATATATATATATATATGATTTCTCTTTTAGGATTTATTTTATATAGCATTCACTAAGTATAGTTATGTTTATAGCAAATGTTTGGAGTTTAAGGTCATTAAGATTTTATTGAAATACATTCATTTTCATTACTTTTCTGTTTGAAGCATAAAACCTCTGGAGATATTAAGTGTAAATATGGACTCCGATTCCCATTACATTCATATTTAAATTAAGCATGTGAATGTGTGTATACATATATATGAACATATATTGCCTATTAGTTTAGGGTACTAGTTTAAGAATCCTCTGTGATTTTTAAAATATGCATTTTGAATCAAATTTGCTAAGAAATTTTCACAAAGGGAGACGTACAATATTGCCAGTCATAAGCAAAAAACCTTATCCATTTCCAAAATTTACTGTTTTTCCACATCAAAATCACACCGCATCATCTTCTGCCCTTTGGAGAGCAGCAGCCTGGGAGGGCAAGTCCACATCCTGCATGCTGCTTCTGCTATTAATGTGCTTACATAAGCAAGACCAGCTTCTCTGTGGAAGCACTGGACTTGTGAGTCACCTGACGGATGGACGGACGGGCATACAGCTTGCACAGCACTTGTGGAGTCACAGCAGCTAGTGAGTGACAGATTTAATGAGATCATTGACTTCTGCCCATCACAGAACTTCAATTATTTTATGTATCTGCCTTACGTTTTCTGTGGCATCACTCACTAGAAAAGCTACATAGAGGTATATGAAGACTGACAAGCAAATTTCCTCCATGCTTTTTGAAGACACAGATTGCACATAGAGATTATTGGAAAAATAGGATATGGGGACACCAAGCTTAAATTTTATTATACATATGTGTGTGATTTCATTATATATATGGAATGAACAACTGTGTTCCTGCAGCAAACATGCACTTGACACATGCATGTACCCCCAGACATGCTTGCTCGTTTGTCTCTTGATCTGAGGAATAACTTTCTCGGAGTTTTATAAAAAATAAATACAGTATTTTCCTTGATATTTTAGTTTAGAGTGTGAACATTGTCATTGCTTCAACCCAGGATTTGCTCAAAACTCAAGAACCCCATACCTCTAGCAAGAGGGCAGCAGCCAGCTCTTCAGCTGATGGATTCGAATCTGTCACATTTTGAAACTAGCTTTAACGGAATGACTCAGCAGTGCTGGGCCACTCCGAATCGTGCCAACTTGTGAGACTTCACTGGAACTATTTGGTCCCAACAATATAAATTTATGGGAAGTCAGCAAGGGACAATGAAGACTAACTTCCTTGGACTCTCATCAAAAATACAGAAACAATAATTCTGGAGTTTCTGAATGACAACGGTTAGTTAAAACACAAAACTTAAAAGGAAGAAACTAAAAGCTTTGAGGAGGAAGATAACAAAGTAGAAAAGTAGGAATTCATTTCTATATGATTAAACAAGAAATAAAAACTAACTTCAGTTTGGTAGAGGTGTGTGTGTGTTTCTCATGGTATGCTCACTCATCAGGTAGGTCCAAATCTTAATCAGAATCACAGTCCACAGGAGGTCTAGAGTGCGTGTCCCAAGTAATTAATCTAGCATAATTAAAATAACAGAGGTGCAAACTGGGGCTCCACATACCTTATTAGTTAAATTGACAAGCTGGCAGTGAGTAACAGAGTGAGGCCAGACCCTCACACCCCTTCGCTGCTGTTCTCAGGGGCATCAGAGTGTCAGCAGGCAGGAAGCACAGGGATGGTAAGGGAAGCCCTGCTGTGCCCATACACCGTGAACGTTCATGGGAATGCTGTGCCCAGCCAGGATCCTCCAGAAGATCCTTTCAGTTACCCCAAGGATGACCTAAGTTAGTGACTTCTCATTGCTACCTCTTGGTAGCCATTCCCCATTTTGTCAAACACACACATCTAATGTCTCCCTTAGTGCAATCACTATGCAGAGCCAGCTACAGGATGAGAAAGTTGTCCAAATTCAGCAGCCGTTCTGTAAGTCAGTGGCTACTTCCTAATGTCCTCATTAGCTCAGACTTTTTAATTACCACTCTGCTGACACTGCCCTCAGAGACAATGCCACATGTATGTTAGTTAAGTAGACTGGCAGTTAGCTTGTCTTCTTGATAATTGACAAAGACATTAGGGGCTAATGCCAAGTCAGGTTCTGGCCGATCCTGTCGACTCCCTGCTGTGTCATTGTTTATGCTCTGTTAAGCCGTTTTCATTGCACCTTATGGGCCAACAGAACATCCAACCTAGAGGCTGCATTTATATCAATTTTTGGGCAGCATTACTGACTATACAACAATCTCTTTCCGTGTCAAATCACCTCAACACTTGCTGCAGATAAACAGAAACTAAATTGGGCAAAATTTAAGTTTAAACATCTCAAAATTTCACACCTTTTATTACCCCCGTCATATTTTGTTTTATAGGACACACCAATGATAGTGTTTCTCATTTTCAAGAAAATATGCTTCATAGCTCTTACTTAAAGCTTTTTCTTTTCTCAATCAAATTATGTTATTTTGACTCACTGTATTAAGTCCCAGAGTTCTCTCCTTTCGGCCTTGCTTCGTGCTTTATTATTTATTTTCACATACAGCACACACATGCTGGCATCACGCAGAAATCGGTGGGGCAGAGATGGGGGCGCTTTGATGCTACTCAAATCTACGTTAATAACAGCTCTAGTTAGACAGGCTAAAACAGCTGTTGGGAAGGGCTCTGAACCCAAAGGGCTACCAGGTCAAAGTATACAGGCAACTGGAAACATATGGAGTGTTCACTTACCTGCTTCTGCTCAACAATTATTTCCAGGTCTTCATCACTGCTTAGCTTTCCATAGCCTTGTTCTTTACTTTTCTTGTGAAAGAACAATTTTAAATATAATTTAGTTTCTTTTCATTAAAAATCTTAATTCCTACTTAATAATTCTTAAAGACAAACTCTTTATTTAACTCTTTCTTGACATTAGTCTCTTGTGTACAGCAAACCTCCATCTTAACCTGTGCATTGACTCTGCCTATTCTCTTGCATCCAAAGGAAGCCTTCAGTCCTTTCTCAATACTCTGTTTTATTCTATAGTTTCACAAAGATTCTCTCACACTCTGAGATAAACAAGCAGTTCTTTGAAGACTCTTAGTACATTTTTCTCAAGAACAGAAACTTCATTTAGAATTATACTATTCTTAAAATGTCAACTATTGCGTTATATTTTAATGCCTTATATATTTTAAGAAGAAGTGTTATATAACCCAGACAACAAGCTCTCAGGTTTTTAATATTTCAGTAAATCACATGAATACTAACATTGAAAATAAATAGTAATTTTAACATATAATATTAGTTTCAAAATTAGGTAGTTTATGAAGTTGGAAGAGTATAGGCATATATATCTCTAAGTGTGATTTAAGGCCATTTCATTATTTTATTGTTGTGACTGGTCCTAATGACCATTCTCTACCCATCTTTCCTACAGCAAAATTTACAAACACAAGTTCTAAGGCTGGAAAAGCAGTCTGACCATAACAATCATCTCACAGTTGTGTTGCATAAAAATGGTAACATATTTAGCTTTTTTTCTCCCCAGTGGGAATGTCAGAAGTATAATGAGACTTCTTCACACCAATGGCAAACGTAGGTAAAGGCCATTACGAACTTTTCTGTTGTCCAAAGTTGAAAACAAAACAAAAATCAGCCAAACAAAAACCACTCTGCTTTGGATGCTATCCTCACAAATTTGAATGAAGAGAATTAGATTTCTAAAACTTCGGTCTATGGTGTCATATTAGCACTGGTCCTGCACATCAGTGCCACGACACAAGACTTCTTTACTGCAGAACATGGTCTTTCCTCCTTACAACATTACAAAATAAGAATTCTCATATTTCTCCCACCCCATAAATATATCTCTTATTTTGTGTCATTTACTGTAATACAGAGATCAGAGATTTCAAGTATTGGGATGCATAAATACTGCCCCCCCACTTCATCCACACATTAATAAACTTCAACAATTAGGGCAGAACAAGTGGTGACAGTGTTCCTCTCGGATATCATTCTTGTCTTCATTTGAGATTCCATTTCAAGATGGATGGGAAACAAAATGAACAAGTTTGGTTTGAGCCAAGCTGGCTTCCTGTCTCTTGGCTTCTGGGTCCTCTCAGCCCAGCATTAGCTCTGAGACATTAGTATCTACAGTCCCTCTGCCACACAGCCTCAGAAATGCCTTTCCCAGTATTGATCTGTATACGTACCAAGTAGCTCATCTGCATGACCCGATTTCTGGACAAAAGGGCATTAAGTAGAGATGGAATGTGAGTCCTTCCATCCATTTCACTGTCAGACATCCCAGAATTCTTTGCACCAGCGGCAGTGGCTTCATTGCCAGAACTTGCTGACCAGAGAACCACAGATCTTGCCCGGCAACATTATTAATAATGTACAACAATAATTGAAGTATTCCTGCATCACTGTCGCGACTTTGTAAACATCCTGAAATTTTTGGCTACTTCAAAAAGCCATGGATGTGAAATTTTCTTTTCCTAATTTTTATCATGCACTTTTATGCTTCCTGGCTGCTGTTCCTCTTTAATGATTTTTAAAAACCCATCTATTATTTATTAAATAAATTTTGTATTTAATCCCTTACATATGAACTACTCAGCCTCTTGGTCATAGAAACTCTCAATTTCCCCATTTAAGCCCCTGCCTCTGACTTTGCTGACAATTTCTGCTAATAGATATAACAATGCCAGCACACACAGAACATAATCACAAATTGCAATATCTATTAATATTACATTTCACTTTCCCCACTTAATCCCAACTCTGTCTGATTTAGTAGCACATTTTCCTGGGAAGAGGGGTCAGGAAAGGAGAGTATGTCCTAACTACTCTCAGTAGAAGTTGCCATTTTCCAGGATTGGGAGGAGGCATTTGGAGTTCTGATTCTTGTGCCTAAGCCTCTAGTCTCCACGGGACACAGAAAGCGCACAGACAGCAGCCTTGCAGCTTTCTCCTAGAACCAAGCATCATTTTCAAGTCTACCCCATGACCCAGGGGCACTCATACAGTCACTCACTTACTGATGTCTAGTGCGAGCACAATCCTCTTTCAAGCACTGAGCTGCCCACTTTGCTTAGCTGAGCCAAAGGCGGGGTCTTCAGCTCTCCTCCCTCCTCCCAGCCGGGAAGCCCTTGCTTCTTCCTAAGTACTTTTGCCAAGGCCAGAACGCAAGTCCCTGGCTTCTGCGAGATCTTGCACATCAGCCAGAGGAGTGAATCAGGAGGAGGAAGAAAGCTAATCTGTCCACTGTCCAAGTGTGAAGGGGCGGGGCTTATGTGGGAGGAGAAGCCACAGGGTAATTGCGTCCTGCGCTCCACCCACAGCTCTGGCAAGACGCAGAAGCTGAGGGTTTCAACTGAGGCCGAGAAATGAGGCCCCTCACCGCCCAGCCTTCTCAGGGAGTGCCTGCCGTCACTTTCGTGCACTCTTAACTAAGTGCATCTGAGGAAGAAGCGTTAGTGCTAGGGAGCTAAGGGGGAAAGAACTCAAGGTGGAGAAAAGAGGCCAAATGAGCCTCCCAGTTTGCTGATAGTGTCTCCCTGCCTATGAAAAGCTTTGAACCCAGGCTGGCTGTCATGTCTGAAGCTCCAAACACAGTGTCTCTTATCTTCCCCCACCATCCCGAGTGACATCATTCTGAATTCTATCTCACTAGCTTGAAACAAGATTGCCAGGTTCTTTGTTCGTCCTGGCACCCTTCGGAATGCTATCCAGCCGCATCACATCTGTGGTTTCCTTAAGAACCTCCTACCTGGCAACTCAACTCTGCCCTATTCACACTCCCACCCTCTCCTCACCCTCTCCTCACCCTCTCCTCACCCTTGCCTCACCCTCTCCTCACCCAGACGTGCTGCTTTTCTGTCCCTCCACCCTTCCTTCCACAGAAGTAGAACTGAAAAATGGATGTCTTCACTTGAATTAAATAAATCACAACACTTGGGAAGTTGTATCACAATGCTATTGTGGAAATTACTCCACAGGAAAAAGACTGGGCAAAATTTTAACAATATCAATAGAAGTTGGTGCCATAGTGAGTTTACAAACGAAGGAACTTACTTGTGTCAGAATATGAAATAAAACAATAATAATAATAAGTCTCTGGGCTGGAAATGTAGCTTGGTGGTAGAACACTTACTGAGAATACATGAGGCTGTGGGTTCAATCCCCAATACTACAAAAAAAAAGTTAAAAGGGAGTTTCAACTGAAAGATATTAGTTGTATGTGGATTGAATTAAAAGTATTCTTCATACTCACGAAGAATGGGACTTACATAGGAAGTTTTGAAAAGGAAAAGGAATGCACGGTCTATCTAACAGATCAATTGCCCCCAATTGTAGTTTTTGCCCAACTATAGATGTCAATATGAAGGTAAAGGTTAAATATTTCATGTAAGTACTTCAAAAATGGTTTATCATTATTTAGTTACTGCTTCATGATATATAATAGGCATATACTTACTTAAGCAAAAGTCACATGCAGAATTAGCAATCCAGTGTCAGGAAGCTAAGAGTTTCCCATTGCCATTTTAGCCCTCAGCCTCAGAGCTGTCTGGGGTCAATTCCTGTCCCCCTGTGTCCCCTGTCTTTAATCTCTTTTCTGCCACCATTCTTCCCACGGCCAACAAAACTGCTTAGGTTTTCCCTCACTTAGAAGGTGATTTCCTCACATCCCCGTTTCTCCTGTCTCTTCACTGTTAAGTTAGAAAGAATGGTCCACACTCTCTCTTTGCCCTTCTACATCCACCATAGTCAGGGTGATTATCAAACTGACTATCGAACAGAAAGGGTAAGGAAGACAGTGCACACACAAGGTCTCTGGTGGGCTTGTGGTATCTTTGGAAAGTTCTGCCAAGTACAAACATCTACTCGACCATTTGGTCATACGCATCCGTACCTAAGAAGAGAGGTAGGGCTATACATCTCGGTAGATGGATAAGAAAATGGCAGGGTGGGTGAGCTCATGACAGAAGAAATGAAGACTTATTCAGAAGCCTAGAGGACAACTCCCCTTTAACAATAAATAAGCAAAGGAAGAGGGTACATTATAGGGTGAGACGGAGAATAAGGGGAGAGTGCCCAGTGCTAAGGAGGTGAGGGTGTGAACTGGAACCTTTCCTTGAGTGAGGTATCAGAAGTCACCAATGAGTAGGAAGAGAAGCAAAGACTGAGAACCTTTCCTTGAGTGAGGTATCAGAAGTCACCAATGAGTAGGAAGAGAAGCAAAGACTGACGGCAGATGCAGTGATGGGTACATGGGTCACGGGGTGAAGCCGCTGAGAGGTTCATCATCCCTCAGGAAGGCTGAGATGTGAAAGGGGGCGCGAGGAGGCTGCTTCAAAGACAAAGATGTCAAGTGTCCCCAGCCTGCCTTTATATAAAAGTCCGGAGCACATTTACAATTCAAGAAAAGTAAGCAAAAATGCTGAAAAGCTGAAAACACAGATGTCAGAAGAAATGGGGGTTAGGGGTGGGGGTGGGGCAGAAAACAGGGGCAAAGACCTTTCGTACAAATGACTTCTCTTTTACAATCATGTGTAAAGTCTTTGAGAAAAAAAATCTGGGAGATTCCATACAAAATGCTAAAAGTTATTTTTCTCTGAGAGAAAGAATTAGTAATGACCCATGCCTTTTTCTTTAAACTTTAGAGCGTTTTTCTGAAATAAAAAAGAATTTTATAATTCAAAAAAGGAAAGAAAATTTGACTGCTTAAGAGAGCCATGTGACTGCTGTAGGGAAGGCTACAGACATCACGGAGAAGAGCCTGCACAGGCTCTCCCTTCCTCTGAGTTGTCGCTGGGAGAGCTCTGCTTTCTTTCCTTAAGCAGATAGCGTCATGGCACAGACATTGCAACGGCTCTTGTGGCGAGTGGTGCAGGATGGTGGCATAGATGTGGTGCAGGATGGTGGCATAGATGCGCTATTGTTCATTGTGTTTAGCGTGCCTTCCACGATCTGACAGTATTTCGATCCTGTGTCTTTTTCTTTTTTAAGTCCACGGCGTCAGCATAGCCACAGAGGACATTGCTGAAACAGCCAAAGAAGTGGTGAAAAGGAAAAACAGGAAACAGGAAGGACAGTCTCTACCAAATGCAAAGGTTGATACCTATCAACCCTTCCTAGGTTGAAGTCCTGAGTCGGCTTCTTAAATAGACATGAAATGTATAGTTGTCACACCTCTGGTTTTATTTCATTCAAATTCAGGTAGGGAAAATGTCATTGTTACAGAGGTTTATAGTAAAGGTTAAATGTTAGACTAAAGTGTATGTGTGTGAGTGTTTGTGCACGTTCCTGAGTGTGTGTGTGTGTGTGTGTACATGTGTATGTGTGCTTGTGTACTCATGCTGTGGTGAAACAGAGTGGCCACAGGACTCACTGTTTTATTTTACTTTTGGGTCAGACTTGAACAAACAGGACATATGGCCCACAGACTCACTTCTGAAGGCATATTACCAAGTAAGAAGAGAATACAAAGACCTCAAATATGTTGAGAAAATTTAAACTGCATTTAAAATCATGCATAAGCTCAAATATTTAGTGTTTCCCACTTTAAGGCTAACTCTAACAGGGGAAACAGCATCAGTAGCTGGGTGAGGACATGGCCATGAAGCCCAGTGGTTTTTACTTTAGCCTGGCAGACTGCTCTTTATGCTGGCTTTTCTTGATTTTTTTTCTTTTTCATGGTCTCACTGTATAGCCCTTGTTAGCCCAGAACTCGATATATAGAACAGGTTGGCCTCAAAGTCATAGAGATCTGCCTGCCTCCTTGTCCAGGGTGCCGGGAATAAAGACAAGTGCCACCATGAGTCCTGGCTTTTCTAGCTTTAAAGTGACTCTCAGACAGTATGACAATAAATGGTCTAGATTCTACTACTAGCCTTTCCTGTTCCTTGCTTCCTCCTGTGTCAGCTCCAATGTCTTCAGTGCTTATTTTGAAAAACAATACATGCTATCACATTTCTACATATTCTTTCAAGGATTATTTTTTAAATCCTGCAATGCAAAGCCATTGTTTTGTTAAAGTTCCAAAGTGGGTGCTCTAAACACTCAGGATTTTCTTCTCTCTAGCAAGTCATTGCTTGATTTGAAAATCAGATAGCTTGCTGTATTCCTAGCACTGAGTGCTGGAGACAGGTCCCATCCCTAGGATTAGTGAGGAGGATTTCTGATCAAAGGCCTAGGATTTTTATAGTTCTCAGGCAAGAGCAAGTGATTAAACAACTCTACTCTTGGAGACAAATCTATGTTGTGATGGGCAGTGTCAGTGGATGCTAATTACCGACCTCATTCTATATCCTTTGATCTCAGTCTCTCCCCACATAGGACAACCAGCAAATGGCTTCACTGTGCTCTGGAATACATGGTGGTACTTACCCCAGGGTCATACCCCCGGACAGAGCTGAAACTGCTCATGGCTTCCTAAAGAGACCACACTGGGTTTAAGGAACACCACTTTGGGTGTCACACTGAGGTCAAGTAGGCAGTAAACAAAACTTAAATTTGAAATTTCAATTCTGTAAGAGTCAGTCACGTGCTATATGGCTTTAAAGGCCATAAAGAAACCATTTCTTAACTCTCTGTCACCCAACAAAGCAAACACAAACACTCGGAGAAACAGCAAGCAAAAGTGATGTGCAGTTCACAGGAAATTCTAGGTCCACTTTTCTTTCACCTAGAAGGTTCTCTTCTCCACAAAAGCCATGCTCCTTAGAAGCTATAAATACAATGGATATAAATGAAAACATTTGACCTCCTAAAGACACAAATGATTGAAAAATTATATATTACCATCTGTGCATCTGGTATGATACGGTCTTTGATGCTATTTCTAAGGGAAGAAGAAGCAAAGTTCTCCATTTTCACATCTCCCACCTAACACACCTGGTCCTTTGTGTGAGATGGTAAGGAGTAGGAAAGCAGCATTTCAGATCCCAATCGGTAACTGAATCTTACTATCTTATACCTCTTCCCTCCCTACTTGACCCCACAGCCCTCACAATTGAGAGAAAGCTCTCCCTATTGATTCTTTGAAATATGAGAATAAAAGCTGCTGCAGCTACGATTAAGACACAGGGATAATGTCCTGCACCAACAGCCCTGATGATAATATTTATTCTCATAATTACCAACTCTGCATGGTGGGCATGAAGCCACGTGACACATCCTCAAACACAGGTGCACTGACCCTGGGCCTCTCCATCCAGTCCTTTCTTTTCTCCCCAGAGCACCTGGCCTC